AACTACCTGTTACATAGTGACCCTCATAAATGCTTGTGCTTGTTCTGTGTATGTGTAACTGGATACTTTCAGGGCAGAGTTAAACTGGTGGCTGTACAGTCAGTACACACTGTATGATCAAACACAGGCCCAAATCTTAACAGTGCTGGAAATATCCCACGGCTGCATGCCAGAGCCCTCTGACGATAGTTGTATGAGACTGAGAGACTTTATGTACATGTGTCTTTGTAAAATATATTTGAAATGAGGCTTGTAAGTGTGTTATGTAATAGGTCAGGCATCTTAGAGACATTTTTTTAATATTACATAATAAGGAACTTGATGGACAATAGCAGAAAATTGGATTTGTACATTTTGTTGAGAAAATGTGGGCGGTGCTTGTCCAAAACCTGTTGCCATAATGCCAGGGAGTTGTAATGTGATTGCCAAAGTGTTCTTATTGGTTTTAGATGGTTGCTTACTGATTCAAGTTAAAAGATCCCACTTCAAAGTTTCTATATTAATGTGGGCTTCTAGATATGGTTTGGTTCATCTTTCAATATAAATCTATGGGATTTTCCCCCTTCCATTTTATTATCGGGTGAATTAATGCTGATTACTTAGAAAAGTAATAGCACACCTCTCCTCAACAAGCTTCAAGATGTCCATAGCAAAAGCAGTGCAGGATGAGTTACATATAAAAATGATAGAAGTTTACATTTCTGAAAAACTTAACCTCAAAGTATGTACAAAAGTAACAGTCATGTCTTAGCAAGCACCACTAATTGTGTACATGTCCTGTGTAAATTGTAATTAGGCCAAAGAAAGATTATGCCACAATAAGAGGTTCTCACAAAATGCTTTACTTTACACAAGTTGATACATTTATTTATGAAATATTTTGTTACATTTTGTTGCAATTAAACAAGAAGAAAAAGAAGGTCAGAAGTAGAGGTGGAAAACGCTCTCGTAGCAGGTGGTGACAGGAAGGGAAGGAAGAGGACAGAGGGACAGTGAATGCAGGTTCAGTTTAACTACAGAATTGTCCTTCATCCCTGACATGTAGACCTCATTATGCAGAATGGTGCCCTGGCCAATTAAAGTGGTCTTCTCCATTGCTCTGATATGGCCCCACTTCTGAGAGTCCACACAGAAAGATGTCACCATGGTTTCAGAATTGTTCCCTCCAATTACAACCAACTGATTATTAGCAGCACCCAGGAAGTTCAAGATGGGGAGGTCTGCTCTGGAGCGGGTTAGTGTGGGGAGCAGCTCACACCAGCAATCTGAGAGGAAGAGAGAGGATTCTTACAAAGAGAAGGACAGGTTAAAGTCAGCATGAAAGAGAAATTCACCCTCTCTATTTTCTGAATGCATCTTATTAATCTTGTGAATAATTTATCCATGCATATGACCCTCTGGAGACATATGCTGCAAGTAAGTTTTACTTGAATGAACATCACAACATGCTTAGTTCATATTTGAAAGCTAGAGGCTAATAGTCAACCTTGAGCAACCTTACATCTTGAGCAAGGAACTCAATGGCAACAGCTCATGGATCAACCCTGAATGTTGTCTGAACCTTTCGGTTACCACCTCAGATCTTTAATCACTAGACTACATCACACCAAATTGTACCTTGTCTAGTATCGTAGTGCAACACCAGTTTCTCTCCAGTTCTCTGGATGTTCCCCAGTACATAGAGGCAGTGTCCCAGGCTGGTTGTAAGTGGGGAATCATGGGACAGGGACAGGCTGAACTGGAAGTCTGTCAGAGGGAGAGAGGAAACAAATTCCCAGGTGTCTTTCCACGGATCATACTTCTCCACAGCAGTGTAGACGCCTGTGCCGGAGTCAGGAGTCACAAGGGAATCCAGATACCAGCCGCCTACAGCAAAGATTCTCCCCTCACACACAGCTGCACTGAAGTGACGCCTGTGCTGAGAGGGATCATGGACAGTCACATTTAAACTTTGACCTTTATTCCTGCATATCTGATACTTATCAGCTGGGAAACGTAGGTTTTGGAAATGAGACCTTAAAGGACAATATGTTCCAGGCAGAAATCTGCCCATGCTAGGCTATACTATTATAGGTCATGAAGTTGGAACATGCTGAACTGGTTTGTTACTGGTCAAAGGTGGTCTACAAGACCCAACCAGCTTGACCAAGATGGTCTCGCTGTACACTTCGGTACCACCTGCTTGTAATTCAGCTGGTTATCTATGTAAACCACCTTGGACCAGCAAATGACCAGCTTGAAACCTTAAGAGTAGATGAGTGTACTGTCATTGGCAAAGATATTGACCTTTATCGTAATGTTCATACCTTAATCAGAGGAGCTGTTGATACCCATTGATTGGTAAAAGGGTTGTAGCGGAAGGAAGCCATCTTGAACTCATAGCCCTTCTTTACACGGTGTCTATAACCCCCTATGAGATAGAGGTAATTATAGAGAACCGCTGTGGTGAAGCACCACTTATCTGCACAAAAAGGCAGATCTGTGAGAGAACTCCATTTCCCATAATCCTTGTCTTCCTCCAGCCTGAAGAGCTTTCGAGCAGCATCTGTTTCCAGGTCATTCCTTGAGGTCAAGTTCTCCTTTCTCAAGCAGCATAAGTGTGAAGTACCCTTTGACCTTAATCTGAGAAGCTTTGCTTTAAGGTGTGGATCCAAGCCCTGGCTCAGGTGTGGACGCTCCAGTAGATACTTGCTCAGGTAGGTTAGCACAGTCTCTTGGAGCTCCTCACTGCAGAGTTCCTCAGCCAGCTGTAGATAGCCTAAGCAGGTGTGCTCTGTTAGGGCCTGAGAGAGGGCAATCAGTAGATGATTGGTGAACCCGTAAGCAAGCAGGTAAGTGCTCACCCGTAGGTGTTCCCCAAGGAGGTCTCCAGAAATGCAGAACCGCTGTAGGAACATGTTCAAGGTGTACCAGCTGTTCAGATGTCTCTCTCATGCAGGAGTGGGACAGAGCCTTGAAATACTCGCTGCAGTCTGCAAGCTTCTCCAGATCCACCTGGAAGTAAGTGCCAATAAGCATGACATCATGTGTTTGTGGGCCAAGGTTGTTACACAGTCTGTGGTTTATTTGTAGATACTCACATGGAAAGTATGTGTGCTGGTTTGCACCATTATCATTTGTCCATTACTCTGGTGCCGATAGGTCCTGTACTCTTGATTTGTTCTCCAGATGTCTGCCTGTAGGTTATCAGACTTCTCTTCTACAGCATCAGAATCTGCCTGTCTGAACTGAACCCAATTTAAACTATTTTTAAAGCACAAACATCTCTGTATCTGTTCTAAACTTCTTTTCAGCAATGTGCAAAAGTACATTAATGCCACAACTATAACCTGCCATAGATTAGCCATGTTCTCATTTAGGTAGAATACTCTTAATACTTGTAGGACTTAAAAGGTTTTGTATGGCTCTTCAGCTGCAATTTGAATGCAGTTAAAATGTTGCATTTGGAACTATTCTAGACTATCATTCTAAAGAAAGCCTGACTCACAATCCCAGCCAAGGCCATGTCATTCCATGGTGGATGGAGGATAAATCCAGGCTGTTTTTTGGTAGATCATGCATGGAGGTTTTCAAGGCTCAATATGGCGCCTGTGTGCCAGAGCAATCGCAGTAGAGCTATTTTAGGGGATCGCTGGAACAGGAAACTAATATGGTGGCCCACTCGGTTCAGTCTACTGTATTACACAACACTTGAACCATGTTGGGAACTGATGATGCTTGATTAATATATTTTATATTGATCTATGTATTTAAAAATGTTCTTAATTTAATTTTTGAACTGGTACAGAAGTAGTGTTTTGAATTGTGCATTATCTTACCTTACATAAATATATTAAAATGACACATTATGGCAGAAATGAACAAACCCAAAACAATCTCTATGGCTTTATAGGTCACCGTTACTTGGAACGGAATTCATAACCCTATGCTAACAACTCAGATCGTTAACCTTTTTAGTTACTTGTATTTAAAAATTCAAATACAATATTCACACCAATGTCAGCATGATTTTTTTAATGAGCAAAATGAATGGATACCTGCATTGCAAAAGAACAAAAGAAAACATACCAGAGACAAGTCTACAGTATAACTTGAATTAGCCAAAGCAATTACAGAAATGAACATTGGTTCTAACGGTGTCATTGCTTCTCAACACAATATTAAGAATCACAGATTCAATATCAACAGTGATATTGGGAGCATGTTAAAGTGGTCTAGCCTATAACGTTCATGGTCTCTCAATGTTTCTTTTGTCCCTGAACTTGCTACTATATACGGGAAAGAAAACATTGAAAATTATACAGATACAATTGTTTATAGACAGGGACAGATACAAGAGCATCAGTTTGACCATTCAGATTCTCCCAATATGATTCCAACAAAATACCATGATTCTTAAGCTGATGATCCCACTAATTCACTGTATAATGATACTATCCTTCATTTGCTTTGTTCTTCTTTTGCCTCTTTTCAGTTGAAGACTTATACAGAGATGGTTTTAACATTTGGTTGAACTTAAAAAATACAGTATACTTGCTTTTGGATAAGTAAAAAATATAAATAAGCATAAAACAATTAAAACAGAAAACCAGTTACATAAAATAAATTTGTGTTTAGAAATGGGACAGAGGCATTTGTTAGTTTAGTAATTAAAACTTGTTATTGTTGCATATCAATATGGCAGAGCAAAGACTGGTCAAATCCTAAGTAAAACACAAACGCATAGCTCAAAACATTATTTCCAATTATTAATACTTTTTTTCCAATCGAACGTTAAATAAAATCTAGCCATCAAAATCATATAATAGAAACAGAGTATTTTATGTGCCATTCTGAAACGAATGACTCCCTGAGTTTTAAAAAAAGACGTGCAATGTATTTCACAGTATGTAAATATAGGAAGGATGCAATATGATTTGCATCCTTATCCAATATGATGAATATGTTTAAACTCTAGGGGAGGAAACGAAGACACAAAAATGAAGAGACATCATTTGGACCCTGTGGTTTACACAGTAATTATGATGGATGGATTGATTCTTGATACAATTAACAGATAATGTTGACCACACACAAGTTAGATAAAAAAAGTGCAGTTACATTCTTATAAATAAACTGACAAAATTAATTTTACAGTTTGCCTTGTACAATGAAGAGGTATAAACTGTACATGAATTACAGTATATCTAGGTTTCAGTCGCAAAATCCCCCCCCCTCATGATTTAAGATGAATGTTCCCCAGGATGAACCGTTATTTAACAAGTCTTAATTGTTTGTACTGTGCCCTTTCTTGAATGGTTAAAAAAAAACTATACCTAAACAATCGGTGATGCAAAATGATATCCTGAAGCACATGCCGCAAGTGCAATTTAGGAAAAGAGCTTCTTCTGTTTGAAGTATGTGTCAAACCTGTGCTGTGCATAGTCCTGGGGAAAACCAAAAAGAGATAGAGACAGAAATGAGGTGGAATGGCCTTCAGATCAGTGATGAACAGAAGGGATTTGTTCTGTATATACTTATGTTTACTGTATACATAACTATGATGGCTTTTTGACTGAGCTCTCAGAATTTAGGCGTATTCATCTGTTTTTGGGTAATTGACAAATAACATGGACGAGTACTACAAAATTGATATAAATGTATGAATGAATATTTATATAATTTAGATGCTGTACTGTACTGGCCATAACTGATATGCAATTAATTTGATTAATTATCAAGCAATGACAGTCCTAAAAAAAATCATCATAAAAGGATTAAAAAATGTGAGATTGTCAGATTTATAATCTGTTTGTGTGTGTTGTGATATAATTTTTTTTTTCCAGTTTACCATGTATCCAAACTCGATTTTAGAGATCTTGGCTTGAATAATGGACCACAAACCCCAGAGGAAATGAGACGCAAGGGCAAACCTGTTTGTGTGCATGTGATTTTGAGACAAACAGATAGAAAGGTTACTGGGTAGAGGTGAAAATTCATCAAATGGTACACAGTGGCACATTTCGCATATTATGTCAATAAAAGTCTGATAGTAAATACGATTCATACCGGTTTGCCTCAGTGATCATGTCCTCTTCTATCCTGGCTTGGTCTGCAGGTGCAACGCCCCCCCTTTCTGACAGATAGTGTCTGATAAAATGTAACTGAAAAACAAACCGCAAACAGGCTCAAAATAATATTTATAGGAATATCTATTTTGTTTGTCTAATCTGTTTTGGATATTTAAAAAGGACTGATATTATCCCCTGCCCCATGACACAATTTTACTGATTTCTAATCATTTCTAAGGCTGTTAAACATTGTATCAGTCAGGCTGCTGACCTCTATAAAAGTTATTGTGACAACCTTTGACACACTTTTTATGTCAGGTCATTTCCAAAACTTTCCACTAGATGAGAGCATCACCTACATGTACATTATGTCCAACACAAATGATCTCTTACAACTGTATGACAAGTCATTTGTCATCAATTTGTTAGACAACTACCAAGCACAAATGAATGTCATATATAATTTATGATAAGGCTGTATTGCATGTGCATAAGAAAAAAAGTATTTTAAAAAATGTCATAATAATAATAATCTGTCATATTATACTGATCCTCAATTTTACTTTCTATCCTGTTTAATTTAAGCTTATTTGAATTTGTACAACATAAATAAACTGAAATTGTTTCTTTCAGTTGATCATTTTATAAATTGACCTTTGTTAAGAGTTGTTGTTTTTCCCCCCTTGTCTCATCTTGTGTAATATTAAGGCCATTAATGATAGGGGGAGCATGTTGTGACTCACCTGCTGTTGTCTGTTGGGGTAATTCTCCACCTTTGCCTTGTAGAAGGGCCACTGGTCATACGTGTAGTCATATATCCATTCACAGAAATGATTCCCAAAATCAAAGCCTCTGCACTCAGAGCAGACCAAATTCAGAGTACATCAGAGCTGCATTTATTATAAACTATAAAATGATAAGCACATGTATGTTATATATAGGGTAGTTTTACCTGTAGTTATAGCTGCTGTATTCAAAATCAATAAGCATTAGTTTGTCAGATGAATTCTCCCGGCCATCCAACATGAGGATATTGCCTGAAGAACAAAGTATGATTTTATAGGTGAAAGGGCAGATATGTTGCATAATGGTACAACACAACAGTGATTGACAGACCCGTATAAGATCAGCAGATTAGGCAGCTGCCAGGACTCTGGAGTGCGTGTATGAATGTAAATGTGAGATTGCTTACCTTCCTGTACGTCATTATGACAGAACACAACTGGAGAGGGAGTAGCTGCCAGCAGTGACCTGACAGAGAGAGAGAGAGAGAGAGAGAGAGACGGCACATGGTTAAGTGCTACTTTATTATATTGCTCTTATAAACCTGCTTTTAAAATGATTGTTTTCATTGTTTAAAAGCCCAATGAAAAAAAAGTGCAGAAATGTACTGGAACACACACCGAACAGTAGAC